GGTCACTTTCCTCCCCACTCTCTTGCCTTCCCCCTTGGCTTCTGCCTTGGGAAGGAGCTGGCACAGATTGGTTGGTGCTGCCTTAGGCGCCCCCTTTGTTGCCCTAAGTCTCATTCCTTACTGAGTGATTCGGTCCCTTTGGCTTTGCCATTGGGGTTTCTCTGTGTCTTGGACCAGAGGCATTTTGCACTTTCTTTTGTGCTTGTGCCATCTTTGTCACACTTTTCTTATGTTTCCCTTTCAGATGTGTGATGGTTGCTCTTTTTGTGTTTATAGAGTTTCTTTTGTGTTTGATGATGGGCTTTAGTAGACTCCAAATACATTTTCCTGTCTGGTGACCCCTAGAAACCTTCCTTTGCCCTTTTCATTAGATAGGAATGGTATTTAGGCCATTGCTCTATTTCCACCTCCAGCCCAGGGTGAGGAGATTTTGAGAGCACAGCCTCACAGAGTACGCTCAGCACCAACCTCTTCAATTTGTTCCTGCTTGTGCTTTGTGGTTGTTTGGCAGCTTTCAATAGCCCCTGCATACGCAATCTTCCTGTTCCAGCACTGGCACGTTGTGGAACATGTTTGAAGCTCATGCACCTACTGGACTGAACTCTCTGGAGGTGGTTGTGCTTGGCACCTTCCCCACCAGATGAGAATCTAGGCAACTCATTAGAGTGACTGCTGTCAAAAAACCGACTTTGAAAGTGGTGCTCCCGGTCCGAGAATTGAACCCGGGCCTACCCTGATAGGGTGATACTAGCCACTATACTAACTGGGAATGCTACATTGTGGGCACAAATACTTATGATCTGGTCTCCAGAGCTCCTAACAGTTGAAGCCACTGATACCAATGGTCCCTTTTAAGGCATGTTGAAACTCACTTCTTGATTAGGTGGTTTGACTTTTCATGTGGAGTCTTTTGACATGACAATTCCTAGCTGTTGAGGGGGTTTTTCCACCTGACAAAAACTTTGTTGTTCTGCCACTTGTGATTCCTCGCCTGTGCAACATGGGAGGCTCTTGCAGGTGAGTGTGTGTGTTTGTGTGGAAAGACAGCATGCAAATTCCTCAGCACAAACTGACTTCTTATGGAAACTGTGTGTCCTGCTGTGCCTGTTCCAGGAAATTTGCCCAGCAATCCTGCGTGAAGTTTGAAACTCTGCATCAGCCACACTCCTTGCACTTTCATTGAAAAGGTAGTTTTCCGTAGCAATTTGTGTGCAGAACATTTTCAAGGCATTTCTCATCTTCCCCTCTCCCCCCCCTGCCCCCCATTTTGCCAAGAGGTGCAGATCTGGCACTCCGCCTCTTTATCTGCGTAATGGTTACAAATAAGACGCACCCAGTTCCTGCCAAGCAAGACTAGATGGAATATCACAGGCTTCACAGCAAGTTTCGTCATTAGTACCAGGGGATCCCTACTTTGCTATTGGGGGTATATATCAGTGGTAGATAGCTAGCTTCGCATGCGAGATGCCCAGGGTTCGATCCCCTGTGCCTCCACAGTGTCGTTGAAATACTTTGAAGTTATTAGTATCACTGCCACGGCCAATCTGACTAGAGGTCCTGTTGGGCGATGCACTCACAAAGCATGTCTTCCAAACAGTCTCCCTGACTGGAAGATGCACAATCCAAGAAAACTGCTGAAGAATTTCAATTTTTATGTTCATCACGTACTTGCCAAAAAGGAGTGACAAGGGCTGCTTTACTGCAGCCACACCAAAATAACCAGCAAGCACACAAACAAAAACCCACTTGCACACCAAGAACAGCAGCACCTGCACAAAAAAGCAGCACATACAGTGCAGGACGTCGAAATCAAGCAAATTTGGATTTTCTCATTTGACCATCAAATCTTTTTCCTGCTAAGGCAACCCCACCAACTTCCCAAGCCCATTTGCTTCTCCTGCATCTCAGTATGAGATTCTTGAGAATCTCATACAAGGTGTCAGTCATAGTTTAGGTTCTTCAGCTCTTACTCTACGATGATTCGGTACAACACATTGTATAGTTTTGGACATGAAAATATGACCCCATCAGAAAGAAGAATCAATTTCGGTTGTTTCTCTAATTTTCATAATTTTTTTCCACTATGTAGACTTAATTTTTAGTCCTAGAACAAGGTTTGCCAATTCTTAGTGCAATTAGAAACATCATCTTTGTGATAATGAAAGAGCTATTTGGCTCCTTGGTTAAAACAGGTCTATGTCTTGATTATAGGTGTACATAATCATGCAAATGCTTTATATCTCTTATCTTTTCTTCCTTGTCGGTAATTTTTCATTCTTCCTTTCTTTCGCCTTGCCCTTGGAGAAGCAGCCTCATTAATCCACTACCTTTACAAATGTAACCCAACCTTCAATGAATGCCATCTCTAAGAATTTAGATTTGTATTAGTACCCTGAACCTTTTTTTATTCCCCTCTTTTTAAGGAAGCCTGTGTGGGCTTCTCTAATGCTGCCGTTGCAGGCTTGATACTGAATCACACAAGTTGTCCTTGTAGTGAGAAGGGTTCAAGGAGAACCTCTGACTGTGGGCAAGACACGTGTTGACTGAGAACGCATCACCCTGCGACACAAACATAGATAGAACACCAGCGTCGTTGACAATGATGGAAGTTAGAACACTGATGACTTAGACAGTCGGTCAGAGGTTGGAGTTTGAGATGCCACATTCCATCTACGCTGGTGGCTGCGGCGCTGCCACCATGCCGAAGTCGTAGTCACAATGTGTGAGTCTGATAGTTGGACATACAATGTAGTTCCCCCACCACTAGACGCTAAAGCTATATTTGACTCAAGATCTCATACCTGCCCAAAACAGAAATAGAAGAAAAAAAAGGTATAATCAAGTGAGCCAATTTTTGCCCAACCCCCCACCCCCCCCCCTAATAAACCTATGGCTCCTATACCAGCTTTCAAGGAGGTGCTGCAGCGTTGCTGGTAGTACTGCTAAAAATTGACAGAACCACCATTCCAGATTCAGATTGGATGCAAGAGGGTCCTGCCACCAATCCTTTTGTTAACACAGACAGCACAGAATCGCAGTTTCGCAAGGCAGACGGATTCCAGGTTTTCAGCAGATCCGTGCCATCCCAACAAGTCAGGACTTGGTTCAAGTGAACCTTGATTATGGCCTGACTGCCCTTGAAGCTTGACTCAAATGATGTACTAGCTTGATTGACAGCTACAGCAATCACTAATCAATATTCCTGCTGCCAGAGGCAGCAACAGCAGTAAGGGCACTGTAAAGTCTGCTCCTGCCACCACCAAGGGTCTGGTCTCTGCAATCCCACGATTCCCACCGCACACCACCCACTGCAGTCCCCTTTCTCCAACTTGACAGCTCCTTTCAACGCTGGGTTTTGCCTTTGATGCTGTGCAGATGACTCAATCAATTCAATCCTTTGCTCAGGATGGTACCATGATTGCCTCTCTCATAGGCAAGTACCTGCAGCAATGGTGCCAGGCAGAGCATTGTCCCACTTCTCCACCTGCAGGCTGCAGCCTGCTTTCCCTCAAGCACTTGCAGACAGCAACCTGGCACTGCAGCAGGTTTCGGGAGGGAGGTTTGCGGCACACAGCTGCAAACTCAAAGGAATTGTCACCACCAACATGTCAAACCTTCAGCTCAGTCTGCTTCTTTGCCTTCCACCCTGCTGTCACTCGGAGCAGAACTGCAGAGCTGCTGACTATCCTGGCAAAGTTCATCAACAATTGAAACCTAAGCAAGTGTTTCTTAGAACACAGACAGCAACGGAGGGCCAGAGTGCACAGCAAACGCTGCACCACCTTAGAAGCCTCACTCAGCTTTTCCCAACCGCTGGCCAAGATGGGAGTGCAGCCCAAAGGCAAAAGAAAAAAAGGTGTGTTGTTTGGGATTGGATGGATTCTGCCACCGCAAAACTCTTTGCTTGGGATAGGGCAGATGTTTGCCAATCTCTGAGGGCAAAGTCCAAATTCAGGTTTTGTTCAAGTTGAGATCAAGTTCATTTCAAGTTCTTGTCATTTCTCTCCAATAATGAAAAATGCAATGCTCTCGGCTGATCGGTGTTGTTGTTCTGTGTGTAGTTAATCCAGAGATTGTGTGTTACAGTCTGGTGGAAGTTGGTGCACCTGAGGCAAATCTGTGAAGGACATTGAAAATGTAATGCACAACTATATAAATGACTGGGACTAGTGAGGGTGGGGGGAGTGTGTGTGTCTGATGGTGGGGGTGGCGATGGTGACAGAGGAGGCAGATGGAATCAAAGGCAAATTTTTATCAATTATCGTGTGTGCAGGAGCATATTTCAACAGGGACTATGCTTGGATTTGTGGTCCAGTGGTATGATTCCAGAGGAGACAGATGGAATCAAAGACAAATTTTCTTCTTCTTTCTTATTGATTACAATGTGCGTGGTGCATTTTTCAACAAAGATCATGATTGGGTTTGTGGTCTAGTGGTATGATTCCTTCAATCCCCAGCAAGCCCTGTTATTTCTTCTGGAGGTGCAGGAGGAAAGGGGAAGGAACCCAGTCAGGCCAAGGAGGAGCCTATTTCGCCCAGTTATGAAGAGTGTCTCTGCTGCAAGACTACTGCAATGCAACAAAGCGCAGAGCAGCAAGCCACAATTATTACCTTGCCACTGGATAGTTTTTCCTTCACGCTTGCTTGTTTTCACTCAAGTGAAAGGGATGGTGGTTTCAGGGAAGTTGCTACAAGGGACTTGTGGAGTGCGTTTGTCTGAGCTTATTCCAACACAGTTACATGGTCAAAGCTGATGAGTGTGCCAAATTATGCCTTTGTTCTGGTGCTTAGGGCATGACTGCACTTGTGCTGGGTCTCAGGACTTCTGCTAATGTGGAAAGACACTCCTTGAAGGCAGGCTCACATTCACAAAGCCTGTTTTAGAAGTCAGAATGCTACTGTCCCTTTGATCTGAGGAATTGAGCTAGCTTAAAATGTAGACTGTAAGCAGAGTCAGACTCCACACCCCACACCCCCCGGCATTCATTTGTTCCTCAAAGTGCTCTGTACAGGGATCGAACCTGTGACTTTAGCGTCCATCATACCCACAAGGGGGCGTATTAGCACTACACTCTAACCAACTGAGTTAACGGAGCCTCTGCCTGATACAAGCCCGCTGCTTTACTCACACAGAAGGAAAAATGTCAGAGGTCTTAGGCGCCAGATTAAGGCTCTGGTCTCTCCGGAGGCGTGGGTTCGAATCCCACTCTACTCAATCTTCCCAATATCTCAGCCATCCTTAGTTGTAGTTTAACCTAACTGCTGCAGCAGAGGTGGTTTAACGGTAACGGAACTGTCACTGCAAACTAAGAAGTTTAAATGTTCAACCAAGCAGGATCAGGAAAAGAGCAAATTGGTGAAGCAACCTCGGCCATCTGCCTCCCAACAAGGCTTTAATATGTTGCGTCCTGTGTAAAATGTTGCAGGGCTGAGAGATGGATTAGGGTGGTAACTACTACAAAAACCTGCTTCCAGAACAAACAGACGCCATGCTTTCCACGTGTACACATTGAGGTTCTGCCTGCTCCATATGGTAGGCCCCTCACAAGAGCCTAGCTGGGAAAGCATGGGGGGTCTGGGTATCTGTCACTCAAGGGCCCAGGGTTCAAATCACAACGCCAGCTGTTGAAGGCAACAAGAAAGAGTACAGTCTTGAATCACAAGGAGTGGTGCAGTGGAGATGCCTGACGACCCTGTAAGTCTGTAGTGCATGGGGTGGGTTTGCCGAGGTGAAACCTGGACATAGTCTATGCCTGGATCTCTGGTATTGGTTATCGATTTGGATCCTTAGTAGGGCCTTACACGAATCAGACAGGATTCGAAGTCCGATTGAACTTGATTTGGGTTTTTGGACTCGAAATTGTTACTTTTAGGCTCTGGTATTTAATTCGATAAATGACCACTTTTTGGCCGAATGACCTTAAATCAGCCAGATATTCGAAAATTTACAAAGTGGCCAGGCTTGTCAGCTCACAGGACTGTGAGCGCTGCCAGGGGAGAGAAGTCTCACGCATCCCTCGGGGCAGTGTGCTGCCATACATTGTTTCCTCCTCTGCAGTGTAAGTGCAGTGGGGACAGGACAAGGGAGTGACAGGTTGTTCAGTGTGGACGGCGGAGGAGCGGCCACAGAGTGAGTCGACTTCAGCACGCAGAGCATTGAACTCAGACCGACCAGGAAGGTTGGTGAGAGAGAGCATGTTGAGGTGCCAGGCGAGGTCGTTGGCTGTGACACAGTGATCCAAGTAGTTAAACTGCCCAGCTGCAGTTGGGATGAGATCGTGTTGGATGACCTCTTGAAGGACCTGGTTGGTGCAGAGTGGTGGATGGCATGGTGTTTGCACATGTCCTTGGCAACACTTCCTGTTTGGACCACTGTTGCCAAAACCAGCAAAGGGACTGACAGGCTCGAGGGTCTCGTCATGCGCCATGGGTCCGGAATGGGTGGCACACCAACTCCAGATGGCGTGGGTGGCATGCAGTGAGGTGCCACTGACGTGGGTGTCTGTGGTGTCCGCGGAGACACAACTCCAGGTGGTACACATTGGGGACATGTGGGTCATGTGCGACAATACAATGTCTCGACTGGGGGACGAGCGGGGCTGGCAGCGTGGGCAGCTGGAACTCGAGCAGCAGTGGATGGGGTCACTTTAGAAGCACGTCAGTGGTATCCCTCAGCCCAAGCTGCCTCAGCTTCTCAGGCAGCAATTCTGGAGTGGCGAGCAGTGTCAGCAGCATCACGGAGGCCAGTCGCGTGGGAAGTTGCAGCTCGTTCAGCCCCTGGCGGACAAGGACAGCACGTTCAGCAGATTGACAGGAAGCGGCTTCTCAGATAGCAGCTTCAGCAACTTCAGTGCAGGCAGCGTTAGCACGGGCAAGGGCAGGACGCACAGCTGCAGTTCAGGCTGCCTCAGCATCAAAACAGGTAGAAGGGGATGACCAAGGGTGGGAAGTGGCGTCATAGGTGGGGACCTCTGAGGACATTGACAAAAGGCGTACGTGTGGTCGTGGGTGGATGAAGGCTGAGGGATCAGGCAAAACTCGCAGGCAACAACTCTCAGCAGGCACTGTGAATTGTTCCATGCGCATAGGGATCAGGAAGGGTCGTTCAGCTGCAGTGCAAAAGCTGGGGATACTAGCACCTTGGGTAGCCCAGTTGTCTGTTACCTGGGGCACGGCAGGTAGATCCAGGTACACTGCACAGAAGTAGCGATACAGGCAGAGCTCTGAGGGCAAACCTTGGGTGACGATACCAACACCAGGTCGTACGAACTTGCCTTCCCAGGGGAGGAAGACAACATCAGCATCGATGGCTTCAAGGTAGAAGTGAACAGGTTTGAAAAGCTCATCAACAGCAGTTTCAAAGTTGATGTGGATACTGAGGTGCATGAAGGTAGACATTGTGTATGTGCTGTCCAGGTTTTTGAGGGCAGTGGTTATATCCAATGTATCCATCTCGCTGGGGATGTAAGGACAGGAGTGCCAGGCCAGTTGTGGGGCAGGTGGGCAAAAAGCCAATTGATCCATTCAGGGGAATGGGCAACAAGACTGGCAGGCATCAGTTCATTGAGGTCAATGGACAGCTGTCTGATGATATACTGCTCGAGTTCAGACTCACCCAGTTTGACAATGGTGCGACGGCGTGTGTCAGAACCCTGCTTCTGCAGAGGTAGGCCTATCAGCATCATGTTCAGTGTCAGGTACACCGTCAGCCATGGTGTAGCTTCTTAGGAGTTTGAACTTCTATACACGCTTGTTGAATGGGCAAGTGGGGAAAAGGGGAGTGGTCCAGCAACAGCTTACAATACAAAAGAAGTGCGAAGCAGACGCTGGGATCTAGGCCCCAGAGTGAAGGAAAGGAAACAATAGGCTAAAATTAACTTAAGTGGCCTGCGCAGTGTTTCTAAAATGGGGTTTCCTTGCATCTCTCTCAACGCAACCCCAGTGAACCGTGAATAGGCCCAAAATCTTTTCAAGTCGTGAGTTAGCGCACTGAAAGTTGGAATAGTTTTTTGGTAAGGCGCAGGAACGCATGAGCGTTACCGTCATTTGGGAGTCTGTGAATGCGTGAATGCCCACTATGCTGACCGAGTGCAGGATTGAACATATTTCCAAAAATTCAATTGAGCGTGACTGGGATACAAGACTACATTGGCCTTTAAGCTGCTGGATCCCATCGTGAACCAGCATTTGTGAGTGCTAGATATCATATAATCGACCGGATAGTCATTCGTTTCCTTTTAAGTATGAAGCGGGAAAAAAGGAATGCTTGGCATCCAGGGAGCGAAGAGCAAGAGCTCGAATGGCCACTTGCGAGAGCTCTGGCTCCTCGCTCCCTGCTGGATTGTACGCCTCCTCTCACTCGCGCAATAAACACCGCACTTGCTACGCGTGCGTTTTTGCCCATGTTTATCAACAATTGCCGCACCAACCCCTCCCCCCTCCCTCAACCAACCAACCAATCAACCAACGTACTCCAAATGCACAATCACCTCCAAATCTGCAAAGGCGCTGGGCGAGACCCGTGTATGGAGACGCTGAGGTTCTTGGTCGGTGCGGTGCTCGGACCGCGCTTGCTCCCTCCTTTTCTGTGTTGAAGTGTTTCAAAAAATATGAAAATGAAAGGGAGCCGCTACCAAAGCCCGAAGCGAGCACCACAATTGACTGAATCGCTCGATGAGCGCCAGTAAACAAAAGAGACTTTCTTCTCAAACAGTACAGAGGCTGGAAAGAAATGGAGGGGTCACAAGCGAAGATGTGGGGGATGGAAGGGAGGAGGCGATGAAGACGGAGAAACATTGAAGAGAACGAAAAGAAAAGAGGATGAAGAAAAAAGCTCCTGGCGCGGGTCCACCCACGTCCATCACGTCCTCGGCTCATGACAAGCTGGCCGCTCCCTGAGCCGCCGGCCCACTTCCCACTTCCCCCCCTTCAGCCGCCACCTCAGCTCAACCGAACGAAATCGATTAGATCTCCACTCAACTGGTGAGCTCGACTTGGATATTCCTTGAAAAGCGTTGACCCAGTCAGTATCAATTAGTACGAAGCGCCCCCCCATCTTCAAGAAAAAGTCGTACCGGTGAACAAAGCACAAATAGTCCACGTAATTCATCGAATCATAATTCTGGTCCTCCACCAAAAAGTTTGCAAATTCCACATCCAGGTGCGTGTCCATCTGATACCGCACCAGTTTCAACGGAAGGTAGTTTGGCCGATCTGCTTGAATTTGGTTTAGAATCGCGTGCACGCGAGTAGAGTATTCATTGTCCAATACAGGGATTCGAAGCTGGTAGTTTTTTTTTTTTTTTTTTTTTTTTTTTTTTTTTTTTTGTATCAGTGCCCATTCAAAACATGAACAAAACAGGGTGCGTAGAGCAGTGTTCGTTACCAGCTTGGGGTCGACAGCCTCAACCTTGTCGACGCCGAAAATTTTGAGCAGCACTTCAGGCAAGACGCCGCGGCCAATCCAACAGTACATTTGAATTCCATTTTCTTTAAGAAAAAAAAAGGAAAAGCAGAATCAGTTGGAATACTCCATGCCGAGTGGGAAAAATCCATATCAAAACATACCAACGATGTAGATCCCGTTCAACTCCAGCCGTTCAAAGGAAACTCGCACGGATGGCGGTAACCTGACGCTGCCGTTTTCCACGACACCGACCTGGACACCGCGTCAACCTTCTTTTCATTTCATCATTGCGAACTTACGTTGGGGGCCAAGTTGTGCAGCGCCACCATCCGGGGGTAGAAGAGGGCAATGCTGCCGGCGACAGGAATGTTCTTCATCATTCGCATGTGGAACACTCGGGCGTCGCTCGTGATATCTGGTCCTCCGCGGAAGGCTTTGCATTTCAGCAACGAAAGCGAGTACAACGGGTACAATTTGAATGACTCGGGTAGGATGAGCTGACAAAATGGGGCAGGAGCAAAACACGCTATGATTAATCTGGGAAAGAAATGGTTGCGTCTGAATCTAAACGCGTACCTGCCCCGGAGACGAGGACGACGCACAATGTTTGCGGTACGCCGTGAGGATCTTGACACAGCGATCCGTCAGCTGCTCTCGGACTGTCTTCAGCAGAGTCGTTGCAGCCTGGCT